GACAGAAATTCGAAGTGCTCTAGCTATTATGCCCTTTGGGCTCCAAAACAAGTGACCCAAGACTGACGGTTTTGGTACCTTTTTCTTCTCTGCGGCTGCTGGCGACCTCCTCCCCGTTGCCTCGGACCTGACCCGCAGAGCATTCGTCTTCGTCCCCTGCGGTCTCCGGTGAAGAATGCCCTACCCCTCATGGCCCTCTGATCGGGGGGGTCGGTTGCCCTTCCTCCGGCCTTCCTCGAACTCCAGCGAAAGCAAAGGCTTGGAGCTGGAGTCCAAATGTGCCTCGTTCAGCACCACGCGCTGCAAGTCGTCTAAGCAGAAGCCTTGCATGCCAAAGAAGACCTGCAGTGGGTTGGCTGCAGGAGATAGCCAGGTCTTCCAACACATGACCTGGTTCTTCAGTACGTGACCGAACTCGATCACCTGGTGGCTTCGGTCGAACCAGCCGAACCCGGACGGTTAGGGTCACGAGTCAAGGAATTTTCAAGGAACCGGTCACGTACTGAAGAAGCTGGCATTCCCGGGGTCACATGTCGGGGTGGTGTTTGGTCCCATCCAGTGAGTGGAGTAGCTGGGTACCCCTAACCTCCAATAGGCACCCCTTTGTGACTCCTGGTTGAAAGATCTCGGCTGTGGGTCAGGCACCGGGACACCCGACGGTGTTTCCCAAGCATTTTTGGATCCATCCCAGACACGACCCGTCTGGGACTGGACGGACTGCCGCCCCAGAAAGACCCCCAGTCAACCACCCCTGGCCGTTTTGAAGGCAGTCCTATGGTCCCATGGGTCATGTCTGGGCATAATCATTTCAGGATTCCAAGTCTTCCACATCTTCTCAGCGAATTCAGCCGCCAGTTGGCTAGATGGCATCACTGGCATTGGATGGTCAGGATGGTCGGACTCCGGGATCTTCTGCATCTCCGGATTTGACTGCCATCGTTGGAATTGGAAGAGATCGTCTACCTAGTAACCTCATTGACGCCTGTTTTGGAGCGGTCTTTTCCTATTGAAACTATCAAAGCGGTCAAATGGGGTCCAGGTATATAGAGCTTTAACGCCCATGCGGCCCATTTTTGCCCTGGAGCTAAGAACACCCAAACAGCCTCCCTGCCGCGCCGGACAACACCGAGCCCTTCTTTTCTGGCAGAATTGGGCAACCAAAAACATACGACCTTGATGAGTCCACCAAATGATTCACGCTTCGAAATGCCGCAAAAACGATCAAGTTTGGTTGTCCTCAAGAAGTTTAGCCTGTCGGGGTTTTGTAAGAAACCCTGGAATCCTTTCTAATCTTTCTAGGTCTCCAGTCGTACCTCCTCAGGTTCGGTATGACTGGACCTCCCTGGCACCCACCCCAGTCCCACCGGACCGAAACAAAGGCCCGACTGGACTTACGGACCATCCAAGCACCGTCAACAAGCTGCCAGGTCCTCCCGTGGACGGTCCTCGGACTCTCCAGGTCCCGCCAGGCCGCCGCCGGGATCGAGGAGTCGGGCTCTAAAATGTACAAGTACGAAGAGTCCAAACCTGGAACGTCCCAGTTCAACCACCCGTCCGGGGCTCCCGAGAAGGGGCAACAGTTGGGATCAACACTTGGTTTATATATCATACCCTATAGGCTCCAGTCGGGCCTTCTGAGAAGGTGGGACTGGGCTGGGTGCCAGGAGGGTTCAAAGACCTTCTGAGGAGGTACTTGGATCCCTAGGGCCAAAGACCCTGCTACCCTAGGGATCCAAATACCTTCTCAGAAGGTGATTGGAGACACTCTTATGTGGGTTTTTAGGGTCCAAGTACCTTCTGAGGAGGTACTTGGATCCCTAAACCCGTAGCCAACATGGTTTTTGTTGTTGAAAAACTGTGAAAACCTCTCTATGTGTCCATGGGTTTGGCCACTGGGTGTTCAGGAACCTTCGACCAATAACACTGGCGAAACTGGCGAAACACTGGAGAAACGGGAGAAACCTTTGACCGATGGATTCTTTCGGGCAGAGATGCTGGAAAATAAAGGGTTTGTCAACCACCCCAATGTAGAGGCAAAGATGTGAAAATTCCAAACCTGATGGAATGTTGGAAGAACGTTCAGACTCCTCAACGCCTCAAGTTGCGTGAACCTGTGGACAAGACGCACACTTTTGGTAAGTCTGGGAGAAAAAGAATCCGGCCCACCTAAAACACTCAATGGCGAGCAGTCTCAATGGTGCTTCGCAAGGAATGGGGGATCCTAAGGAATCTCCATGGAATCACTGGAGGTCCTTCCCTTATTGGATACTAAACACTAGTGAGATTCATTGGAGGCCACCACCTGGACTGGAAATGCAAAAAGGCCCACATAACATCGGCTGTTTCAAGCTGCCAGTTCAGTGTTTGAGAACGGCTAGCTGGTGGCAAAGGAGGTTCCTCTTAATCAAGCAAGAGTTCTGCGTGGGCATTGTCGAAGTTTTGCCAGGAAACACAGCTTCTTTGGGCAGAATGAGCCGGCAGCTGTGGCAACATAGGCTAGGAGCCCTTCCTGTTCCAAGACCTGTTCGCAATGGACAATGGGAGACATAATGTTGCGACACATATAATAAATATTATTACATATATATATATATATAACAGATATAGATATAAATATGTGGTGCAGGCCCAAGGACTCCCAAGAAACGCAATTGAAGGCCATCCTTCTATGGAGCCAACTGCATCCTTGGAATCCTGGCGAGGTAGCTAGGACCTAGGACATCCAAACACAATCCAAACATATCTCTAAACCTGATTATGAGATTCGGCTGCTCAAATGAATCGTGGGCACATGTGTGGTTGGAGGACCAAATGACTTTGATACTCTCCATCCCTGCACCTATCCAGTTCAATCCAGTGGTCCTTTCACGATTGATCCTTCGAAAAACAGACTACGTCAACATCAACAACAACAATAAAAAAAACAATCACGACAAGCTCCATGACAACAACAACAGCAGCAACAACAAAACCAACAACTGCTACTGCTAATGCTCCTGCTCCTGCTGCTGCTGCTCCTCCTACTACCTACCTACCTACCTGCCTGCCTGCCTGCCTGCCTGCCTCCCTACCTACCTACCTACCTACCTACCTACCTACCTACCTACCTACCTAC